CGAGTGGGCGGTGCGTTCGAGTATGCCCTCAGCATACTGAATCCCGAAAACGTAATTTTACATTTTTTATGGACTTCTTTCCCAGTCTTATCCCTCACTGTCTTAACGTCTCAAAATTACGCTGCACATAACTGGGTTTGTGAGAAGCTAGCCTTTCCCTCCGCTCGGTTGTCTGGCGCTACACAGCGATGCAATTTCAGGGGATGCGGCCCTCATATGTGCCAAAAATAATCTATTTGTTGTCGGACGGACGAACTCACGATTATCCCAAGGACACTGAAATGGCCGACCTGTTGAGGCAACAAATCGACAATTCGGACATCTACGCCTACGGGACCGGCGAATACGTAGCCATCAGTGAACTGACTGCTATCACTAAGGTAACAACACGGTGCTCGTCCAGTTTATTCAGTTCAAAAAGTTTGAGAGATTGAATGGGAGACTAGATTGCACTAATCCACTGCATCCGACTAAGGCCGCAAAGTGCTGAAACAGTTGTCCTCACTCGTTTAAAACATTTCCTTTCCCTCCGTCCTCCGCCGCTCCCTCTTCACCTACTCACCCTCTTTTCTTGCCCGGTTTTTGTATTGTCGTAAAAAGAATGCTGGTGGAAAAAACAATTAGCCTCCTTTCGACAAGAGTACGTTGAATGACGGTCTTAATTAAAAAAAATAATTGGCTTCATTTTAACATTTACACTACAGTTATGTTAATTTTTGTGGTGGGTCTTCTAGCGTGTTGCTCGAAAGTTTGCTGGTAGAGTTCTCATTTAAATACTTTGGTATTTTCTTCTGGGGAATTTAGATGGGGATTGTTCTTTTGGTTATCACATACGACTGCTGCAACCAGACAATGCTTCTCAAATTGAGCAGTTTCAAATTCGATCACAGATTAATGAATTTTTATACGTTCTTGCATTTTGTGAAAATGCAAAAACGCGCATTGGCAAGAGACTGTGTGTGTATGTATGTGTGTGTATGCATCTGTGCCTGTGTGTTCGCACTTTTTGGCATCCATTTTCAACTCGAAAATCAGAAGAGCTAGAAAATTGACTTCTGGAGTATGCATCCATCCCATGAGTGTTTTAATGTTGTCATTTGCGTGCGTCTGATTTCGCTACAAAACCAAGCTGCGCTGTCTACACACGCTCTGCAGAAAAGGCGTTATGAAAATATGCATGCCTTCCTCAGCACGACTGGGTGATCAAATGCAGAGGTGCAGATGGGAGGAGTAGGAAGAG